GCTCCTCGCAGAACTGCACGCCCCGACAGGAGTTGCCGAGGGGATCCAGCGGTGGCGACCACGTGCAGATTCCCATTACGTTCGGTATAACCACGAGAAGGCTTCCCGACACTCCGGATTTAGCTGGTATTCCGACCTGCGTTTCAATGGACAGTTTTTCCGTCGTTATACACCTTAGACGCCGAAGGGGTTCGTGTCCGATCGAAAATTGATCTATCGATCGGCAATGTTTTCATTGTCGACTCACCTTGAACGCGAACTGTCCGCTGTAATCGTACATGCCGCAGCTGTGCATCAGACTGAGGACATCTCTGACGCTGTCAGGTTTCAAGACCTTCTCCTCGGTGATAGGACATATACCGCCATTCGCGAGGGTAGCCGCCATCACCGCCATTGTGTCGCAATTCGCTTCCATCGAGCAACACTGGGATAAGAGGAACGACATAGAGATACGCGACGATCCGACAGAAATAGAGCTAGTTACACACCTGGAAGTAGAAGTCCATTATTTCCCGCAAGTTTGTTTTGTCCGGGTAGCAATTGTGTTCCCTCATGTAAAAGCCAAGTGCGTAATTTCTATCAGCGGCTTCTCTTTCCGACAAGAACACGGCATTGTTGAAGCCAAGATTCTCTCCACCGGCCAATCTCTTAAAATAGTTCATCGTGAAGTCGAATTTCTCCGCGAGTGTCATCTCCGGTTTAATCAACGACTTCAGCAAAGAACAGACCAATATCGCGCCCGCGTTAATCATAGGGTTATGAGGCTTCTCTGAAAACATGTACACAAGTGTATCAACATTCTTACTAGCGATGGGTTCAACACTATTTCTATTGATAGTCTCACTGGATACCTTTTGAAAGTATTTAAAATTGTTTGCTTAGTTTAATCATTTTTCCTCAATTGAATTTTGGACATTTTGTACAGTTAATTTCATAATCATTATTGCACAAGTTGAAAAATCAATTCAAAATATACGACTAAACTTGGAAAATAATTTTAAGTTAAAATTTCAAATGATGTCTTTTGACACCTTTGATAGAAATAGCGTTCAAGGTACCGAGACGTCATACGTTAAACCTTTAACTCACTGTTGTAATCTAACACCAACTCGTTGAAGTTCCTCCCCGATGGTTCTTGTCCGACGTATTGGTGAACGACTTCTTGCCCTAGCCTGTCCAAAGCTATCGCGTATGTCAATGGCTTACTGCAGCTCTGTAGAGTGAATGGAATGGATGTGTCGCCGATACTGAACCTCTGTCCATCGATCGTGCACACCGAGACACCCCAGTAATCTGGATTCATTCTGGCCAGCTGGGGTATATAGGAGGCGACCTTGCCCTCCGAGTTCGACTTGCATTTCCAGTAGAAGTCCTCGATGTGTTTCGTGAAACCCGACCAATCGGGTATGATAAACTGATGCCTGAACGCTCTCGAGATCAGTACTATATTCGGATTTATGATCCTGGAAACGAGGCGACGGGTAATCGAACAACAGAATCGAATCGTGGAAACGGCAGTTACATGTCTCCTAGGGTCTCCTACCTTCGGAATTGTTCCCTGTTCAGTTTCTGCGTCTCGTGAGAAACACCTTCGTGGCCTCCAGTCGCCAAATGTTCTTTCCGCAGGTTGTCCGAGAATTCTTGAAGCCTGGGGTCGTCGTTTCGCAAACCGGTCGTCCTCAAAGCCTTGAAACACGGGAAATAAGAAGATAATGCGGAACGTCGGGAGCAATGAGCGTTAACTAGTCTCGCTTGCGACTCCTCGCGGGTAAAATCACGCAATACTCACAGCCAAGAACTTGCCCACCGGTAAGAGATCGGTATCTTCGTTTTTGAACATGTCGAATAATACATCTTCGGCGTTGGTGGCTTGATCCTGATCCCTGGTACTGGAATAGCACGTCGAACAAGGAACGATTAATCTTTGAAAGTTATCTCGCCTTTACTAGCAACCGAACGTTTGCAGTTCTATGAGCATGCAATTTTCTAAACTTTACTATTCCATGCAGAACAATAGAAGTATTATGACAGGGTGCTAAGTTCGTGGCCAGATTCGATGCCTACAATTTTATAATACAAATAGACATCGAGTTTACCCTTTCTATCGCGAGAGCAGGAAAATCTAAGTTACAACTACTCGTTTATCGATCGTTGCGTGTACCCTAGACGCTAACCCTTACTAGCGACATAGTGCTGTCATTAGCATTTAACAATGAAATAACGTTCGTTTCAACGAAAAATCTACTACCCTTCGGAACGGTAGCTTTCGCGTGTTGAGTCATGCATCAACCAATAACAACACGTCTCACACTGTACTCACTACATGTAATGGCTGTCATGAATGAAGCTGTACTCGCTGCAAAAACATAACGAAGAATTGGATCAATCGATTCTGCGATCGAAGTCATTACCTAAGGAATCGCGCCAACATTCTTTTAGATCTGTAACCTTTCTTCTCCAGCCAGATGGAGCACGCGACCTTCGATTTGATCGAGTAATCATCAGAAATCCCGATTGGCACTAAAGCCGAACTCTCCGTCGAACGTTTCTCGGCTACCGCGACGCAAGGCACAACGATGCTCAGTCCATTTTCCTTCATTTTCGAGTGTTCCGCGAGCAGAAACGAATCGTTTCAACCGGTAGCTCGATGCAGAAATCGTTTCGATCGTTTCTCCGTGTTGGACCTTTCGGAAAGATCACGATTGTCGCGAGGGACACGATTCGATTCCGCGTTTCTCGACCGATCCCGAACCTCCGCGAGATCTTTTCGCTGTTTGCGTGAAATCAATGAGGAATACGACCTTATATAAACGACAGGAAACGAGCTACGACCCCACTCGAACTCGAGAAATACGATCCAAAAATAGCGGAAACGCCAACGAGTGACAACTGGTGCGAAGTGTGTTTATCGCGGTGGCGTTCGAGCGTTTTCAAACGAGCAAACAGCTTGGACAAATGGAAACCCCGGGATCGCCGCCGATGATTGGATTGCATAACCGCAAACATATCTGACATTGTACTTATCTATTAAGCAAAAGAAAATCGATCCGCGAGCAACGCGTCTAGAACAGAATCGGCTTCCTGCCGCGCACAAATCGCGTCGAAGTTTGAACGAGCAATTTACGGGATAAACACCGTGGAAAATCGCACCCGTGGACAAACAGTTGATTAGAATCAATTAGAACGATGGACATTCGAGTACCACGAATGATAGTCATCTGGTAAGCGCGCGGTGTGAATTTCGTCAGCGAAACCGTCATGCGTATCGAATATTCGCGTTCGAGCACCGGGGTCAGCCGTTTTATCGAGGAAACGGCGAGCGTTCGGTCTTACCGAAGCGACGATGTGTACAGATCGGCGACATCCTTCATGTATTGTTCGCAGAAGTCGAAGTCGTCCATTGTCTTCGGTCTCGTGTTAACGGTGTATTCGAAAGAGGACCAGCCGTTCATCACTCGTAAAGATTATTACTCTCCTTCCGGTTTCTGGCCTTATCGCAGCGCAACACTCTTTTCCCTAAGCTCGCACGAACGGTCGATCGATTGAGCAAAGTTACGGAGAACGAAACGATATCTTCCTCCGAACGTATTTAAATGCGGAGCGGTGTCGTTAAGACAATAAATTGCGATGCTTGGGGTCGGATCTATGAAGATCAATGGTTCTCAATTAACCATCTGTGGGATTTCCGTCGAGTTCGACGATCTTCGAAAACTCCGACGCAGTCACTCGTCGAGAGTAAACAGTAATTGGATCGGCGATGAGAATATGAATATGAAATAATTGAATGATAAAGAGATATGACACGAGGCAAACGAAACTCCAAGTTGATTGAAAAAATACGAGCAAAACGAATCACAGAAGTTCTCGTGATAGAAGTGTAATTGCAAGTGAAGGAATTAATGACCGATCGAAAGCGATCGAGCGTTCGCAGCTTTCTCAGAAAAACGATGTGGAATCAACCGAAGGCGAACGAATGAGAACCGTCAGCATCGATTACATCGGATTTATTGATTCTCTATTGTGTTCCACCTAGCGCGTGGATCTATTTCTCCGTTGTTACGATGTTCCTCGAGTAAGGAGAACGCAACAAACGATTAGCCTTATTCCGAATGCGCAACAACGATCTTCGATACAAGCAATTGGACTATTGTACGCGTCGCTGCGTTTAAATAGATCGGCTCGTTGTAAACGTTTCCATTTATTCTCCGAATTACGCAATGGAACTTCGACTCTACACGTATACGTGCACACTGTATCGTACTCAGTCAAATATAAAATACAATATATTGTAAAACTCGAAACTATTTCAATCGTTTAGTCGAACACTATCGTCGTTGTGCCTCGCGTATCGCTGCAGTAACTAATTTAGCTAATTCCGAACAATTCTCTCGCGCCCGAAGGCACGCGCCAGTCGAGTACGCGCGTATAATCGCTTTGCAAACCGATCGTATCGCTTAATCACCGTGCGCTCTATCGTAAACGATAAATAATCGCGTATCCTTTGACACGGAATCGTTCGACATTAGCAAAAGTGAAAGGAGATGTTCGTTCGTTGATTCGAGCCGAACATCCACGCGATCGCGGCTCCATAGAGGCGAAAGGCGTATAACGGAGTTGTCGAACAGCTGATTGTTCGATCAAGTAATTGACAAAGTAATGACAAGAGAAGAGGGAACGTGTTCGTTACCGTGTTTGCGCGCGTTCTAATTCTAAGGCACTTCCGAAAGCGGCATCCAAGTATTTTATAGTTCCAAGCTTCTTCGACGCCGGTACCGCAGCCCGTCTCTGCAATCAATCAGTTCCGCCGTCGTGATCAAGACAACTCCGAAAAACGAAAAACCGCAAAATAATCGCGCGACGCTCGTCGAAGAGACGTTCGATTTTCAATCGGAATCGGCGATTCGACGACCAGCTCTCTTCCCACGGGACACGGGAACCCTCGCGGCGTGCGAAACGAAAATTTGATCCGCGCGGACTCACAATGATTAAAGGGAAGGGATCGCGGGGCCGTTGAAAGGCCTCCGCTTTCGTTTTGAGAACGAAAGAATTTCGAGTCGGCAAAGCGTGCGAGGAAGGGTGCAGAGGCGCCGGTTGCCAGACAGTTCCCGTATTGATCCTTCGATGAATCAACTCCGAACACCTTAAGCCGAAACCTGCCACGTGTATTCCTAATTAGGATCAACGGGTTGCATGCAGGGAAACAAATTCTTAAGGAGCGCTGCTCCACCCTTGACCCAGTTTCGAAAAGCCGCCGCTGCCGAATGAAAAATCACACGTTGAAGGATCAAACGTCCGACGAAGCCGTCGCGGACAGCGGGAGCAACGCATCCTTTCCGATCGCGGTTATCGATCATTGACAGCAATTTATCGCGTAGAAAGACGCTAACGATCAACTGATTAAAGTGCGACGCTCGCGCCTGTTTGCTACGAGTCGGCTGTACGGCGTTCAAGTATTTCTGTCGCTGAAATGGGCCACTGCCACCGCCCACGTGGACGCTAAACATGAATAGAATAACGCGAGTGCGTATGCACAATCGCTGTCGCCGTTCGTCGAGCAACCGTCACGAGTTTCATTCAAATTTTGCATTAGAGACTTTGAAGATTCGTCGAAGTGACAAGATTTCCGGAGAATAGGGTATAGGATTGTTCGAAAATCCCGAATATCCAGATACCTCTGTCTACTTTCGAACTGTTTCCTACATCTCGAACAATCACCGGTCATCGCACGGGTGAAAAGAAGTTGAAGACAGAAGAACTGTCGGCGAACAAGATGTTTCCATGCTTGCACTCGATCGAGTCCTCGACACCACGACGCGCACTTTAGCTCCTTCCTGGAGGCTCAAGCAGCACGTTGCTACGTGATCTGGCCCAAACGTTCATCCAATTTCACGAGACAACGGATCGATGAGACTGCGAAAGGAGGGTCGGTCTTCGTTGCCATCCGAATCGATAGACGTTAACCGAATTTCGCGGGAACGTCTCGGATCAATAATGCATAGAACAGAACCGGGAGAACGTTTCGCACCTTACTGCTGATGTGCAGCCTCCTGAGCCCGTTCGCGCCAACCTTCACGATCTTCAGCATCCTCGGGGATGGGTTTTCACTGCTCGTAAAGGGAGATCTCGATGGTGTCCGCTTTCGGGCAACGGCACGGGAACTCGGGGGTTGACACTCTCGGCTCTCCTCGAATCTGCGAAAGACGCACGCGTACGCACGTACGTTCGGAAACGATGACGCGAGAGCGCGACCCTCGACGTCCCGTCAGCTACGAGTTACTGCGGTATTAAGGGTCGCGGGGACGTTTGCCAACGGGGAGGCCAGCCGGCGTATAGGGCACATGCGCGATTTAGACGCGACTACGTCGAGAAATTCACGGCTGGTCGAATCGGTTTTTTGCCGCTCGTGATCAATAGGACGCGGGACTGGTTCTAAGCATTGAGGATTTCGGGCCAGGCAGACCTCTTTAGCCGTGGTGGTACAAAAGAGACGATCATCGACGCGCTTAGGTAACCATAGGCCAAGAACGCGATGAACGACGGCCTCGACGATCGGAAACTCTTTTGGAAGAAAGAAACCGGTAGTACGAGTCTAGATAAAATCTCATTTTTCGTTTATTGTCTTGCAGTTATTGTATTCGTGGTACATTGTACACGGAAAGGTGGATAGAAAGGTAATAGTAAAGATGACGCACCGTGCTGCCAGTAAAACGGTCAGTCTATCGTGTCGCTGTGGCGACGGATCCGTCGAATTGCGAGCTCGAAATCTCGCAGGCGGATAACGATTAAACACGGGGGAACGATTAAGTCCTAACGAGGCACGATTTAGTTGTTCACTACGGGTTGAGCGGTCCGTTTATCGATCCGGCTGTAACGAACAAAAGTGCAACTGTTCGTTAGTCGTGCGACTGACAGCAGGTGCAGTGTCTCTGATCGATAGACCGAGCGCTTTCACACTTGAGAGATTCTTGTCGACGAGAATTAAGTATCTAATGTCGATTGTGCGCGACACGCGGAATTAAATGTCTAACATTGTACGAAAGTCGAAGAACAAGTTAAGGAGTAGTTTAACGTTACGTAGAATAGTTACAAGTAGATATTATTAATATAACTTACATCGATGTTTAATACTTTGGTTTCCATTTCACATTCTACCAGGTAATCTACGAATGTACTTAAGTACGTACAGTTCAACAGCATCATCGACGTAATCTATTTTGATTTATCGTATGAAAAAATAGTTTGCAACTCCGATGAGAAAACCTTATTGCACTTTTCACGCGCAGTGCATACATCATAGAAAACAATATATGGAGACTACACGAGACCAAGATAAATCACCTGTAAATCGTTTTTTTTTTCTTTTTCGAAAACTTCTTCCTTATTTCCATAGATTCGTCCTCGACGGTAAAGATCGAAGCGCCGTGTTATCTATTTTGGTCCCCGCGTAGCTCATACCTATACAACATTTTTCCTCTCGTAATCTGGAAGACTATGACACTATCGTAACAATACAATGGCGTTCAGTGCAAATCTTAAATATCCTTTCGGAAAATAGTATGCGTGTAAGAAAGTAGTGATCTTCCTTTGCTTCATACGTGCCCAGAAGGTGCATCGTACGTGTGTATTTAAGGCTCGAATCGTATAAATAAAGGATGATTGTCATGATCGTAATTCGATATTTACAGATGATCGTTCGAATGAACACAGTTTGAACGGCGATACAAATTGGCTGTGGAAACGTGAAATATTTGGTTGACCGAGAATTCGAAAATTGTTAACGATCGTAAAGCCAAGTGTTTGCCGCTGAATAAACTCCAACGCGTTCGATCCTGAGACAAAAGGCGGAGAGATTAAGAAGGCAAAGTCTACGAGATCTACGAAATATTACGAGATTCGATACAATGTAAAGATTATCAAAAACTTCATAAAGAGCTCCCCCGTTTTGGGGGACTCGAATTCATATTTATACAGGGTACAACAAGACGCGGGTGGGTCGTGCTATAAAAATTGCATCCGCTGCTGTCGAGTAAAGCTTGTAAATCAGTGAAATGTCGAGAAAGGGGGACCACCTTCTCTCACTCACTGTACCTTAACGGTAACAGTACTAACGTAAGATCGCCGTAGCATATACGGTACTATCATTTGCTAACAGTAGCCAACGTTCGCATGAAAATATGTAAACCGTGAAAGACTCGGGGATGATACCGATGAGATCAGTCAGCAATCTTATCTACTGGTTCGAGTAACATCCGCGACGTTCGTCGACAGTTACGTTCCCCAGTTGTAAGTTGTAATTGCAGTAGCTTTCATCCCCCGACGTTGCGTCTTCCGCGAACGCAAGCCCGCGAACGACACCTCAGATCACCGTGTCCTGATAAGCGGGTGGTCCGCTGAGAACGAACTGTCTCTGACTCTGTCTAACGATATCGGTCCTATTAGGCACCTGAGGTGTCGCTCTTACCCCATGATAATTACTGTAGCTGGACCTGGCGCTGGCTGGCCGATTATTGTACAAATCGTCCAAGTCTTCGCCGTTCAGACTTTGCGTGCTGGTCTGCTGGAATGTCGGATTGCTCTGGCCTTGCCACTGCATAGGATTCACTTCGTTTGGCTGCCAATTATCGGTGAGGTTCCTGGTGGAGCTGCTGGCGTCCCAATTCGGATAATTTTGGTTCGCGTAGTTGCTCGTGTTGGAATAATTGTTGGAGGAGTCCTGGTTCCAAAGCGTCGGCGAGGACACGGCCATGTTGACGGCTTCCGGTTGCCAGTTCGAGTTTCTGTCTCTGTCCCAGCTCATCGAGATTCTGTCGTAATTAAGGGTACCCTGGGACAGCGAGTTGACGTTCTGGTTGGTCAGATTGCTGGGCGTGGTGTTCGCGTACAGGCTCTCCTGATGGTCCATGATACGGTTCACGGGATTCTTTCGCCGCGACTGCCTGACCGAACTCCTGCGGCTGGATCTTCGCGTTCCGTCCCGGGAGATGACCGACCTGCGTTTCACTCTGCGCGGGGTCATCGGTTTCGGGGATACACTGTCATCGTGCACCGGCGGCTCCGGCTGAGAGTACTCGATACTATACAACGGCCTCGGCTGCTTTTTCTTCCGTTTAGTTTGTACTGTTACGGAAACAGAGAGCGAAAGTCTGGTCACAAGAGGAATGAATGATTCGAATTACGGATGGATTTGCGGCTGTACACTTGGACGTTCCCGAACGACCGTCCTCGCGTATAACAGACGCAAAACGTTCGGATTAATGCACACAGGGCTAAGTTAATTAACAGAAATGCGATTGCCTCGCGAGAGCTGAAACGGCAACTACGTGCACAGCGAACAATTCGTCAGACGCTCCGATGAATTTTTTTTCGAGCGACACAACTTCGTATGAATTTTACCCAGATCCCGTTAGTTTTGATACGAAATGCGCAATATCCAGCGATAATACGATCATACGTACTTACGGACTACAGTGAACGGTAAAGAATTTAAAGTGAACGATAACCAGAAGAATAGCGACGAGTAAACGAAACAGTTCCCCGAAAACCGCAGAGGAGATTGTTAGAGTGGGAAAGAAAGAGACAGAGAGTGGGGGTTAATAAATAAAAAAAGCAAGCGAGTAGTAGCATTGCACGTTTATTGTCGCCAATGAACCGCACCAAGATAAATCAAATGATACAGTAAATAAATATAAAACTAAGGGCTACGCTTTTAAACGAATTACACACGACTACTGTGTACAAGCTTCAAACGAGGAGAGGATTGCACTACGTTTTGACAACCTGAACCGAAAGTGACACGTTCGACGGTCAGGTATTAATTTCGTTCCGCTAAGTGTGCTATCATAATGCACGGAGCTAGGCTGCTTCATAAATAAGTTACGTGAAAATGCGTACACATCCACTGAAAAAGACGTACACCTATGTACAGTAAATGTTCATCGAACCACACCGATGAAAGATGGCGATATCCCATCGTGTATGCCCCCTAAGAGAAACTGCGAGAACGTTAAGTAACAATTTGTGCTCGTGTATCCTACGTAAAGTATTGCACCGTGTACGAAGTATGTAATCCGTGAGTAACGATGCTTCGATAAAACCTACTTAAAGTAAAAAACAAACATGGTTAACGAGCAGGCTGTTTTACAAGTACCGAACGTGGCCAACAATGGTATGGGTGGAGTGTGACGAGGAGCGTTGCGCAATACGGTTCAATTTGAAATATATTTAAAAGTTTTCTATCGTCGTTGCTATTTCCTTCTTGCACGCCACAACGAATCGAGCATCGCGCTTCTCATCTCCTGTCTATATTTGGATCCCGTTAAATATTCATTTATCAATCGTTGCGCGCAATTCAATACCATCGGCGACTTAATTGCCGCACCAGCGGATCATTTGGAACGGGGACATGTACGTGCTCATTCATGGACTTCGCGTGTGCAACTTTTGAAAGAGGAACATTCGGCAAGTCAAATACCTTCAATTCTCGAAACGAGTTCGATGCAATTTTCTATAATCGAATTGCGGTGTTATATACCGGTACTGCTTTATTCGTCACACTCGACAAATAGTTATTATTGGCTCTTGAACCGCGATTCGTAGAACACCCTGCGCGACGCTAGTTTGTGCAGTCTATTAAAACAAAACGACACACTTCCACGTTTCTCGAAAAACGAGGAACTTGTGTGTACAATTTTTCGTCACTTCGGATCAATCTTTGTGTATACGA